TATCGATTCAATTTTAAACTTAAATCGTTTCTGAATTAAGCTATTTTCTGTTATATCACCAACGTTTTTAATAAAAAGAAAAAAAAAACCTCTTTAATCAACAGAGACTCTAAATTAAGAAATCAACAAATATTTCCCGTTTTGTTGTCTATACATTTCATTTTATACTTTCAGTACATAGACTAACAACAATATTAGGTTATACTTTTGTTGCTAAGTAACATAACGTAAAACACATTGTTGGAAACTTAGTCTTATCAAAACGCACTGGCTTTTCTGTATATTAGAAATTGTTAATCTGACTGATTTTTACCAATAAGTATTCCATGAATACGCCACGAATTCATTTCATGAATGATCTTAATTTTAATTGGCTCTCAAAGGAATTTACTGACGTTTAACTGCCTCGACTGCACTTTTCTGCCTCTTTGTTGATCAAGCTTAATTTCGCAAAATTTGCTTATTTCAGCTAGCTGTGAAATGTGAGGCTAGGATGAAGATGGTAGCACTTGCCCCGTCATTTTGGACGGGCTTTATGACAGTATATAAATAATAATGGCTTGTTCATAATCATTACATTATTTTCCTTATTTAAATTAAGTACTCAGGTTCCACAATTAAACAAGAATGAAAATAATATTGATTACATAATCAATTAGATTATGACAGAAAAAGAATAGTGATGAGAAATGTAATGTAATTTTCGGATATTTTTACTGGCTTTATTGAAAATTTATTTTTAACTGTGTACATTAAGAAAGCTAGCATCATTGAGTTGGATGCTGTAACAGGAACACTTATTCTACACAGTTACTAAAGGAAGCCAGTTTAAACTGATACTCTTATGTTTTATTGTATATTTTTTTACAGTAACTGACATACCTTACTTATCGAAATTTAACCCTAAAATATTTGTGAAGGAAATCTTATATAACATATTTCTTAGACACTGTTAGTGCCTTTTAATCAACCAATTACATAGGAGTACGCCCTCCAGTGGCACAGCGGAATGTCTGCGGACTTACAACGCTAGAAACCGGGTTTCGATACCCGTGGTGGGCAGAGTACAGTTAGCCCATGGTGGTGCTTTGTGCTTAACTTCAACAAACATAAGAGTACATATTAAACTGAACAAAGGTACTCCTATATATAAGTATTATATATAAATAAATCAATATACATAATGCTATGCAATACATTAATTGTTAATACGCGATTAAAATCAGAACTATAAAACAGCAATGAACTTAATATAAACCAGAAGTAATATAATACAATTGAAATTCAAAACTATGCCTCCGTTATTGTCCCTTGTTGTCATCCTTAGGTCATAATGGATAATTCTTGTGGTCATAGCACCCAAATGCGATGAGGGTATTCCATCTATCAGACAAAATCCAAACGCCGATGTAAAACTCGCCAGCAACTAAGGAGGATCAGTTAGGGTTAGGAGTTGAGTGCTTGAACTCAAAGCTTTTCAACTCCAACTGCCTTTTGATGTCTGTAGCTAGTTGTGGGAAGGCAGTTACCCTTAATATTTAGAAAAATATTTAACGTAGAATTAAACCAACTCCCCCCTCCCAAAAAAAATATATATATATATATATACAAAGTAAAACTCCAACCTCCACTCTTTTATATGATATTATTAAAAATGATAAAGATATTCTTATCGTAGAATTGAACCACCTTAAATTTCTATAGAACTCCCAACTTCCACCCCTTTTATTTAATAATTAGTGATGTCAAACAAAACGATGGACCTCTTACCGGACGAGATGAGACTTAAGAATGATAACAAGAATTATGAAGGAGACATAATTTTGAATTTCAGTTTTATTATATTGCTTCTGGTTTATGTGTATATACTTATACTACCTTTGTTTTCACCAAATGCTAGGTAGTGATCCTGACTGACAAGCACAGATGGAATTAATCATAAGAGAAGTCTCCTAGTATTTTATGTTTCGTCTGAGATATTAGTCATTACATATACCGCTACTGATTTATCGAGTATGATTTCCTGGTATGGCAGCAATGACTTCTATTATTCGACGATTCAGGACACGCCCATCGCAGATGAAATGCACTAGCGGTCGAATCACTTTATTTGCATTTTTGTAAAATAACGTCATGTCTTGGAGGTGTATCATAACATTATTATACCCCTGAGATGAATTATTAATAGATTTTATAGTTTTTTATATTACATCGTTAATAAAAATTAAATAAAAAAATCATTTTTATGTCAGTTGTTCTTATCTAAGATTGTTTAATATCACAGACGTTTTTACTAATTTAAAACAAATTATAGCATCGTTAGATTTTGTCTTAAATTATGAAGAATTTAAGGTGATGCAGGATTAAAAAAAAGCATATTATTCTATTATATTCTGTGGAATAAATAATACTTATTAATGGTATGCTAAATATTATTCTATGATGTTTTGTGGAATAAATAATACTTATTAATGGTATGCTAAATATTATTCTATTATATTCTATGGAATAAATAATACTTATTAATGGTATGCTAAATTTTATTCTATGATGTTTTGTGTAATAAATAATACGTATTGATGTTATACTTATAATTATTCTATGATGTTTTGTGGAATAAATAATACTTATTGATGTTATACTTAAAATTATGCTATGATGTTTTGTGGAATAAATAATACGTATTGATGTTATACTTATAATTATTTTATGATGTTTTGTGGAATAAATAATACGTATTGATGTTATACTTAGAATTATTCTATGATGTTTTGTGGAATACATAATACGTATTGATGTTATACTAATAATTATTCTATGATGTTTTGTGGAATAAATAATACGGTATTTACCGGTAAGACTTAAGACTTAAACTGAGATTACATTCATTTTACAGGTACCACAGTAAAAGTTAACGGGATCGTTGGCCAAGAAGTCGCATTGCCTTGTAATATTTCACCTCCAACGTTAGACGATGAAGTAGCCTTGGTACTATGGTATAAGGACGAGTCATCGACACCAATTTACAGCCTCGACGCTAGACGAGGTGTTGTAGGACACGGCAAGCACTCGTCAAGTGATAATTATGCTACAAGGACTTACTTCAGTACAGTATCGAAACCAGCTACCCTGCAATTAACGGCCGTAACTGCAAATGACGAAGGCAGTTATACCTGTCGCGTAGACTTCAGGAAGGCAAGAACTAGATATTCTGAAATCACGTTGACAATTGTAGGTATGTATTTTCATAGTTAATAGAGTCTAAAGCACAGACAGTTTTTACATTTTATTTTAATCTTATTAACTGACTTTCAGTACATTCTTTGTTCCATAATAGCTAGAAATACATATATAATTTAGGTTGCAAAAGTAATATAAGAGCAATGAGGAACTGGTTAACATATATATAATATAATCATTATCAGTTTAGGTTGGAATCGTATTCAAATATAAAAAGCACACTCTAAATTCAAACACGTCATACCAGTAGCACATTAAACTTCGTCAGAATAATTACTGGTTGTATCACATTTGCATATGTAAATAAGTAAGTAAGGTATAAGCTTGAAGTGAAACCACACGTGAAAGTTTTACGTTATATTTAAAAAAAGAAACTCGTAAGTAAAAAAGAAAGGTTGTGTTGTTATTTGTAAATAAATGCATATTGAAAATCTGCATGTTATTCCATTCCGTTATGCGGTTGAGGGTTGAGAGTCATCTAGCCAAAACGTGGATTTCTATTTTTCACCAGTTGAGGGTTGAAAGTAATCAAATCCAAATGTGTATTTCTAGTTTTTACCGGTTGAGGGTCGAGAGTCATAAAGTCAAAATGTGTATTTCTAGTTTTTACCGGTTGAGGGTTGAGAGTCATGAAGTCAAGATGTGTATTTCTAGTTTTCACCGGTTGAGGGTTGAGAGTCATAAAGTCAAAATGTGTATTTCTAGTTTTTACCGATTGAGGGTTGAGAGTCACCAAGTCAAAATCTAGATTCCTAGTTTTCACAGCTATAAATGTATATGGTGTCGTTTCGCTCGTGTTTGAATCTGCCGTCTCTCAACTCATTTATAGTTTTAGCACGTAGCTACAGTGATTAGTACAACATTACAAAGTTCCTATTTTTTATTTGCACTCTTTTCCGGAAAGCGTAGCATTAAAGATAATAATCAGTTGTTAAATTAATGTTAGTGTGATAATTACACCATAGTGTGATTAAAAACGCACGTCACTTTTAGAATTTTGAAATTTAGATGCAAACGTTTTAACTGTCTTTTAAGATAATATTCAACGTATAGAATGGGTTTATAATTTTTTTTACACCATGTCGAAATTCTAGACTTTAGGCGGTATCAGAGTAGATTTTATGAGTTTCAATCTTTTATTGATAAAACTTATTAACGTAATTGACAAAAAATTCATTTATCCCTCTACTTATCCTCAGTCACTGTAATGCATTACAAAGTAATAGTATTGAGATATTTTTTTTTAGAAATATGTGTCATATATAAAGTTAAATTTCAAAAATGTTTTCATTTCAAACGACCATGTCATTAGCCTCGCTCTCAGTTTGTGCTTCAATTAAAAAAAATCTTCTGAAACTAAAAACAATCTATTGAAACATTACCATGTAATAAAGTGGTAACATTGCTTGAAACTTAATAATACATATATTTTAATCCACAATGTCCTCATCCTGTGGCCGAATAACATCTGTTGATCCAAAGGTCCACTGTCCTCATCCTGTGGCCGAATAACATCTGTTGATACAAAAGTCCACTGTCCTCATCCTGTGGCCACATAACATCTTTTGATCCAAAGGTCCACTGTCCTCATCCTGTAGCCACATAACATTTGTTGATCTAAAGGTCCATTGTCGTCATCCTGTGCCATATAACATCGGTTGATCCAAAGGTTCACTGTCCTCATCCTGTGACCACATAACATCTGTTGATCCAAAAGTCCACGGTCCTCATCCTGTGGCCACATAACATCTGTTGATCCAAAGGTCCACTGTCCTCATCCTGTGGCCGCATAACAATAAATAATAGCTCTATGCACTTTACGAACGTGGTTGTATTATAAAGTTAATAGTTAATTCACACTATTCAATTGGAGTAGCTCAATAGTTGGCGGTGGGTACTGTGGACTAGCTATATTACTTCTAATCTATGAGAACAGAATTAAGGGCGGCTTGCTCAGATAGCCGATCATATAGCTGTCCGAAGCAAACGTTCCCTCAAAAACGAAGTAACTAGATAACAACTGTTTGTATTATATGAACGTAAAACGTATGAAGTACGGCAGTTCAAATTATATGGTTCTGGTTGAGTTAACTGGTTCTCCATAGAAAACAGGGACAATCTCTAAATTACCTAGCATCGGCTTAGCAGCTTCTATAGTCCATAATCTTATGAAAACTCAATAAAACCTGAAATTTCTGGTTTCCACCTGCTTCAAACATGTTGAATCTTATAGTTACATTCAACTACATTCAGACACTTTCAACATTAGCGTTTGTGCCTTTTAAGAGTACTTAAGAGTTAAGTTTTGAAAATTCGCCCAACAAATTTTGTTAAATTATTTACATTTATTTTTTGCATGACACGAAAACAACAATATGGTCAGATTATTCTTTTCTTCAAATTATCCAGGTGCTTAAAGAAAGCCCTCGGTCGCTCAGAGGGTAAGGTTATAGGCTTATTAAACTAAAATTCAGAGTTCTATTCTTGCGGATGGCACAGTGAAGATAGCCGAGTAAAAACATATTCATTCGAACGATAGGATCGGTCTCTTTGACTCAAACTCAAATATTTGTTTTTTTATAGCTAAGCGCAAAACTACACCACGGGTATCGAAGTACAGTGTTTAGCGTTATAAGCCTTCAGAATTACCGATGAGCCAGCCAGTGGGGTTCTCTCAAAATACTTAATATATGTCTTTTTCCCGAAGAAGTAACAACTTAGGTAAATAAGTACCCAACTAGATTGTCGTACTTCACACATTCTGTACGCTATTCAGGAAATTATTTTTTTTTTATCTTTGCAGTACTACACTAATCCACTATCTAAATACCCCCTTTAAAATAACTTGTTCTATTATTAATGTATGTGTGAAAACCCTTTTCAATTCTTTTTTACGCATTTACATCTTACATCATTCTACTGTGTTAAGAACATAAAAACAAAAAGCAGGTGTTCTCCTGATAAAGTTCAACAAACTTTTATTCTTACATACATGGTCATATTAGCAACGTCAGTCGCCAATCACAAGACATCCAGGCGTAGCAACGTCAGTCGCCAATCATAGGACATCCAGGCGTAGCAACGTCAGTCGCCAATCATAAGACGTTCAGTCGGCGTAACTGAAGTAAAATCAGGTCATCACTAATAAATACGTTGCACACTCAGTATCTCAATTGAAATAATTCTTCTGTTACAAACGTGCCATAACTGGTGATTTTAACATTCAATTAAATTGCATTATTTACTTAGATTTCAACCAAATTTATTATATATATATAAAATAAAATTTGTAGAAATGACTGAATCTCGCTTTTATTTGTTTCTTCCAAACATAGCGTTCTTTTTTTTTTCTTGTTGACTCACAAAGACAGCAGCCAAACCCAGTTAGCTATCTTATTTAATAAGGAATAGGCTTTGTTTACTTTCTTCTGCCCTTTTATGCTAAGTTATGCGTAATTTTTTTTCACGCTACTACAGTGCCACTGTGACGAAACCTGGAAAGTATTTAACAATATGTAGTAACGTAATGAATAAATCTTAATATTTTAGCGAATTGAATGTTTTTAATTACATTAAAACTTCCCTTTTTCAACTAGAATTCTATAGGAATTTATATGATTCAATTTACTACATAGTTACTTTAGGAACGCTATTATTCGCAAATGAGAAGTAGGTTTAGAAAAGAAAAACCAGCAAAATATTATTGGGTTTACGATCGCAAATACTGTTAATATCGCGAGTAGGTAGAAGCGTAAGAGTGGTATACATTTAGATGGCTGTACTGATTGTCAGATTTATGTTTGTTTCAATGTGGGAAAATAGTTTTATATACGTACTAATATAACTTTTCCTACAAATACAAGAATGTTTCAAAATTCGATCCCAAGTTTCTAGCCAATCACTTCATTTTATTTCGTCGTCCATAGGCAAGTAATAACTCTTTAGCCCAATACAAATTTTTAATGCGTAAGCCAACAACTCTCAATTAGACGTTCTACGTTCAGTCAAATATAGAACAATAGGTTAAAAACATCTTATCAATACAAACCACGTGAAATGAATTCAATTTTAGAAATGACTATGACAACTTTAAAGCTTTACTTAAACTTCATTTGAGAACGTAAAGGATGAATAAAAATAACAATATTGACTTACTTCATGTATATCAAATATTGAGTTTGAGTAAGTATATGGAGATCCAACTAATTATGTATACAACGTTCCCTGTCCAAGTATATCTATCTATATATATATGTGTACATATGCACGCAAATATAATCGGGTTTCTGATGACGTAAAAAACAAAGGCAGGAAAATATATTCCTATGAAACATGTAGTCGTTATACTTGCAAAGATATAGGACGAAACTAAAATTAACAATATTGAATTCTTGTTTGTTTGCTGTTCAGCACAAAGACACACAATATATTATTTTTACTATGTTTGTTTGTTTTGAATTTCGCGTAAAGCTACACGAGGGCTTTCTGCGCTAGCCGTCCCTAATTTAGCAGTGTAAGACTAGAGGGAAGGCAGCTAGTCATCACCACCCACTGCCAACTCTTTTACCAACGAATAGTGGGATTGACCGTCACGTTATAACGCCCCCACGGCTGAAAGGGCGAGCATGTTTGGTGGGACCGGGATTCGAACCCGCGACCCTCAGATTGCGAGTCGAGTGTCCTAACAACTCTGACCACCACGATACCGGAAACAGATTTTTAGCGTTATATACCCTCAGACTTACTTAATTTAACTACCGTATATTTTCTTAATTGGACACAAATATAGTGAGAAACGTGAAGGTCTAATGAATATGAACAAAATGACTTTCTGGTATATTTTTTGTATTGTAATATTAATAATTAGAGGTGACTATGTTTATCTTGGCCGTTATGGATCTAAAACACCTTTTTATACTTTCTTAGATTGTATAATAGATTATATTATGACTTAGTTTGCATCAAAAACAATAAAAAACATTTTAATATTTCCAT